GGAGCTGGACCCTCAACTTGGCAGTTCCCGCCTACTGCAGAGGAGCCACAGCCATGGCCAGGCACCCCGTTCGGGAGGTAAGCTTCCCCGGCAGTGGCTTAATGCGCTGCACCACAACCCCTGCCCCAGCAAGATGAGTTTCAAGGATTCCAAGTCATCAGAAATGTAAACGTAAGCTGAATGCGTGAGGCTGTCCCAGTGTAAGTTGTCTGAACTATTACACGAGGACTTGTAAAGGATGAGGGAGATGAATGCGCCCTATCTGAAGGTCAGATCGCCAGAGCAATTACCTGGAACTTAGGCCATCCAATGACTCTTCAAAGAGAAGTGCTGTTTAGAATCGTCATCTCACACTGAAAATCAGGCTGGGGCTGGGAGTTAAAATACCCACATCCCACTGGAGATCAACTCCTGACCCCTGGCTTCCTGCCACTGTATCCCCTAGGAGCCAGCAGCGATGGCTCAGGCACCCCACTTCTGTTATCTACTCGAGAGACCTGGATTGTATTCCCAGCTCTTGGCTTTGCTTGTGGCCCAGAACGAGCTGGGCACCTGGGGGTGCCAGCCAGCATATGGCAGGTTTTGATCTCTGTGCCTTGGTCTGTAACGTAAATAAATATTAGATTACAAAATAAAAGCAGACTGGGCTTAATTTCTGTTTCCATACCATGTGGACACAGCACCTGTGCACCTGCCCCTGGAAGCGGCTTCCGGCTGCCTGGCTCCCGACCTCAGGGCTCTGGAGTCCAGCACTCCAGGGCAGAGACGCGCAGTCGGAATGCACAGAACCTTCCGGCAGCTCTTGTCCTTCCGTTTCTATGGCAGCACAGGTTCTGGCTTGCTCTTCTCATCTCTCATCTCTGAGTATTCTGGGGTGGCTCTTCCTCCTGCTCTCGTTCGCTGAAGCTTGAAAGGCCTTGAGGCCCTGTCCTGGATCTGCCTCCCGTGGATTCTCTCCCTGGCTTCCCCCAGCTCAACGAACAGCACCGGCACTTCCTTATTCTAGCCCCAATGTAGCTGTTCTCGCTAGGTCCGTTTTTCCATCCTTCTTCTACTTAGGGTCCCTGTGGGCTCAACTGCGAGGCTGGACACTCGCTCCTTCTGACCCCACTTCCATCACCACTCTGGCCAAGGCTCTGCCAGGGCTTCCCGCACTAGACACCTGCTTCCCACACTGTACCACCCTGTACTACCCTGCATCACCATGTGTCAGCCTGTATTGCCCTGCATCGCCCTGTATCAAAACCCCAGTGTCTGAGAAACTGACTATATTTGGAGATCGGGTCATTGCTTTTGCAAATATTACGCATATTTCTCTCTCTCTCTCTCTTTCTCTTTTGGTCTTAATGTATTTGGGTTGGGTCTTATCAATGTATCTGCAAAGGTCTCACATGGGTGTTACTGTTTTTCTAGCCATATCAGGAGCTTCTCCTTGCAAGTGCTATTCTCACAGTGATCTGGTACCCACAAACCTTGCTGTGTAAACACACGACCTGTGACAGGCTTCTCCCACAGCTTTCTCCTACGTCTTATCTTACCACGCCAGACAAAACTTCTTACATGGCGTTGTTCAGAAATGGCCTAGGTGAACATCCTTCCGGCTTTAAAAGAATATTGTCAGGGACCAGTGCTGTGGTATGGTAGGTTAAGCCTCTGCCTACAGTGCTAGCATCCCATAAGGGCACTAGTTCAAGTCCTGGCTGTTCCACTTCACATCTAGCTCCCTGATAATGTGCCTGGGAAGGTGTCTAAGTTGTATGTGTGTGTGTGTTTGTTTTTATTTTTTGCTTTTTTGGTTCTAAACATTTACTTTTAATATTGTTTACATAGTTGAGAGGGATGTATGCCCATGTGGGCCTCAGATTAGAGTGGGGAGCGTTGAGGTATGGAAGAAAGTGAGTGGGATAAAGGTTTCAATTTTTCTTTTACTTTTATATGTGTGGTGGGGAGGGGAGGTGGCAGGGAAGGAAGTGGGTCGCTCCTTGCTGTCAAAGTACATTAGCACCCAGGGGTGCGGGATGGTCATTTGCTGGTGCCTCGGAGACTCTTGCGTGCACCAGCTAGTGCAGGATCTCGTTTGGTCTGTCACCTGTCCCAGCCAATGGACATACTGGTGGATGCAGCTGCCTGGTCACTTTCACCCCCAGCCCCGTCTCAAGCGAACTAACAGGTGCTGGGGTCTAGTCAGGGAGCCTCCAATAACCCCCACCATGCCCATACCCCCAGCATGTGCCAGCATGTGCTGTGGCCTAGCCTGGTCTATCCCACATCCCAGCTGGCTCTAGTAAACACCCATGGGTGCTGTGTTTAGCTCAGCCCACCCTGCCCCCACAAGTATACCAAACAAGTGCTGCTGCCTTGTCTAGCCTGGTCTGCCCTCAGCTCTGGCTTTCATGCTTACCAATGCGAGCTGAAGCCTAGCAGGAGAGTGCCCACAGCTCCCCTGCCAGGCCTGCTTCTAGCCAGCATCTTGTGCTTGCCAGGGGGCACTGCGGTCCAGCCTGACATGACTTACACCCAGTCCCAGCTTTCATGTGGACTGGGACTGGGTGAGGCAATGGGGTGCGGCTGAGGGAAGTAGGGGCTATTTGGGGGTACAGGGTACTCCCCCCTAAACTTTGCCAAACAGGCAGTTCACCTGGGTCCTTTATCTTATCCTTTATAATAAACTGGTAAAACCTAATATTACCCTGAGTGCCATGGGTCACTAGTAAGCCACAGGACTCAAGGCTGTGCTAGCATCACAACGGTAAGCGGCAAGCTCAGCCGGCGGCTCCCTGGCGCCCTCCAGCGTCGGAAGAGGTGAAGTGCACGGAGCAATGAAGAGGCTGAGCAGGGTTGCGGGAACTGGTTAGGGGGACCCGACTCCCCAGGACAGGAATTGGTCCTGGAGAGGAGGACAGTGTCAGGGCGCCGGCGACTGGCAGCCCACTCCCACCGCCCGACACTCAGAGCCATTGAGAGTAAACAGCGTGGCCAAGCCCCTCACGCTCCGGCCCTGGGACCGCGGACCCCTCACCTCTCCTGAAGCTCCTGCCGGTGGGTCCAGGCAAAAGCGCCAACGGCGTTCGAGAACCTACGGTGGTCCTTTGCAGCCCCGCCGCCTCGGAGTCCCACCCCTTTGCTCCTCAAAGCCCCGCCCCCTTTCAGCCCCACCCCCTCAACTGTACCCCATTGCCTCACCCTTCCAGTCCCCTCAGCCTTACCTCCCAAAGCCTCACCCCTCCCCGCTACCTCAGCCTTACCCTCCAAAGCCTCACCCCTCCCCGCCATGCCCCCTCAAAGCCCCGCCGGTCCCCGGCGTTAGCTGCTGGGCAGCTCCCCTCCCACCTTTATCCCTCCCCAAAGGTCTGGGGCAGCTAAATTGTGACAGGGCAGCGGACTCTGAATCTAGCTTTGTCTTCTAGAAGATCGCCTGTTCCCTGGAGCTTCCCTGGTGGAGCGATCAGAGAGGGTGTCGTCTTCTGCACATCCCCGCCCCGCCGCCCCACACCCAAGCAAGCTCCTGACCCTGTGACCTCCAGCCTCTGCCGGGTTCTGGGGTGCTGCTTACCGCGCCCCTGGGAGCTGCCGTAGCAGGTGCAGCTCGAGCTGCTGTGGTAGCTTGGGTGCCGCTCCTCTCTCCAGGATCAGAACCATGGAAGCCCACAGACAGGCTGTGGTATATCAGCACAGACAACGATATATGCAATAAACAACAGGGCTCTTTCCAGTTCTCCCATTCTGACAAGTCTGTGACCTTCTGGAGTGTTTTTCCCTGCCAAGAGGAACGGAGCCATACTTTCCCCAGAGGAGCTGTAACTTGAATGAAACATGAGCAATATTAAGATAATCTGAATGCAAGAGAATCATTGAATTTATACTCCAACTTGAACCTAGACAGGAAGTCAGACTGTGCAACCACTGGGCTAACTGCAGATAGCCAGGCCAGGCCCAAATCAGGAAGGAGCCAGGAATTCCATCCAGTTCTCCCGTGTGCATTAGCAGGGAGCTGGATAGGAAGCGGAGAAGCCGGAATTCAAACCAGCACTGATAGACTGCAGGCATTACCCCAGTGGCAGCTTAGCATGCCGCATGCACGCCCACTCCTGCATCCTGACCTTTGTCGGCCAGCCAGGACTCACAGAGGGAATTCTAGAGAGTTCTTAGGATGGCAGGATTGCGGAAGTCAGCTCACGCGTCTACATGGATGAGAAGAAATGAGGCCTGTTTTCTCCAAAACTGTACGACTGGGTGACAGGAAGGCAAAACAGTTGCCAGCTAGGCCTGCAGAAGCTGCCCTCCCACCCCGGTTCCACAGTGACCTCGGGTCATCCTTGTGTGCTCTCCCTGCTTGTTCTGTCCACCCACAGGCACAGCATTTGGACGAGGGTCCTTCAGCCACACAGTGACAAAAGGACTGTGAGACTGTGTAAGGAGGGTCCCCACCTCGGGGCCACCGTCCTTCCCGCTCCTCCCCGTCGCCTTGCTGCAGCTGGCTGGTTCACCTGCCGCCTCCCTCAGCAGCACGTCTGAGGGCTGGGGCAGATCTCCCAGATTTCTTGGGGTCTGCAGCCTCCAAGGCCACAGCCCAGGGAGTCAGATGGCACTGTGGGCACCAGGTCTGCCACACACACAACCAGAGCAGGTGCTGGGGATTACTGATGCCAGGCTAACCTACTGCATGGTTGTGTAGAGATAAGGAATTAAGCCACTTACTGGACAGAAGAACAGACAATGGCCAGCCTAACTAGGGCGCAGCTACCCCACACTCCCATGCGGCCTTCCCTGAAAGAACCAAAGTGTGGCTCTGCTGGCTGCCTAGTAGGTTGGCGTGAGGACTCAGAAAAGGACAAGAACGTCTTTTTTTTTTTTTTGCCTTTTAATTATTTATCAGATTAAAAAAAAAATAGTGATTGTTTCTTTTCACCCCCACATTTCTGTTCACCAAGGTCAAGTGTGAGAGAAATTCAAGGATCAGCGATTCATGCTCCTGGCCTGGAGCAAATTCGTCCCCTTCGGTCTCTGCCGCACGGAGCAGGAAGCATGGGCAGAGCGTTGCAGGCAGAAAGCCCTGCACCTGGGCAGCTCGGTGGCAGTGTGGCTGTCACCTGCCTTCTCCCTGTTGCCAGAGCATTCGGAACCCATGCACCCTGGCCTGACTCGTGCACAGAAACAGGAGGCAGGGGAAGGCAGGGCAGGGCCTGGAGGAAGCTCATGGCACAACCAGCAGAATGCCACCGCCTTCCGCATCTATTGCACATCCTGGCTCAGATCCCCTGCCCTGTGCAGAGAACAACCAAGGTAAAGGCTTTCCACACCCACACACCAGAGCCCGCTGTGACCAAACTCAGGGAGAGAGAACGGGGTCTGTGTGACGTGTCCTGGCAAGGATACACAACTTTTAAATGGAAGGTATTCCATGGCGGGCCCAAGGCAAAACTGTCATTTCTTTACAAAGGATTATGGTTCGGCCCAACTTGGGGTCCCTGCAGCCACCTGGACCTATCCCTGTTTAAGTTCAAAAGCCCAGGAATGACTCCACCCCTGCAGGCAGGTGTCCTGCACAAGACGGAAGAGGCAGCAGCAGGACCGACTGCAGAGGCCCTCCCAGCCGGCTGGATCCTGAGCCTCGCGGGGTGGCCTCTTCAAATACCCGGGGATCTGGACAAATGACCCTTAAGATGGTTTCTATACTGCATGTTCCTCCACTGAGCGGCAATTCTCAAGTCCCCTGGAATAAAACTTTCAAGTGTTCACCAAGGAAAACAGACCAGGACAAGCGGTAGGTGTCACATTACTGACAGATTCAATCCCTTCCACCGTTGGGGGAAAGAGGTGGAGGGAGGGAGGCAGTGGGGAAAGAGACCGACTTGGCCGAGCTGCGAGTCTCCTCCTTCCCTGGCTGCAAGGAAGCTGGTGGGGGAAGACAAACCTAATGGGGGCCAGCGGCACAAAGTGCAGGCTGCCGGGGACCGTGGGCACACGCACACCTGCGTGCGAATCGTGGCACGCTCTGGAGCTGAGAAGGTAGGTCCACGCCGCGGCACCGCCAGCTTCCTCGATTCGATCTGTCCGTCCTGGTGTGAGTGCAGGCACCCGGGTACAGAGCGGGTCTCCTTCCTCCTCTTCCCAAGCAACTCCCAAAGTTTCTCCTCCTTTAAATAATTATGTACACACACACACATACACACAGGCCTGTCTCTGACATGAAGGTCCTGTAATTGCTTCAGAGAGTCGGTGCCAATTGCCTTTTTGGAGATTTACTGCTTGGGACCAAACCTGCGAGGAGCAGAAAGGGCTCGTCGTTACGACAAGAAGACAGGAGCACCCAGCCCAGGGCCTCAGGGACCAAGTCCTCACGGCAACACAGCCCCCAGCGCCCCCAGAGGGCTCTGAGCTGGGCACAGGGAACACCTGGGACAGAGCCCACCAACTCAGTTCCTGTGCACCTATAGGGGCACAAGTCCAGCAGCAAGGACTGGCAGATGGCTCCTACCTCCCTCCGATAAAGACAGTTTCTCAAGCTCAGCCTCGAGCTCGGCATCCGAGATCCTGGGGTGAGGCACGCTGTTGGTCTGGAGCGTCTCGGGGGGGCTGTCGGGCAGCTCTGGGGGGTCTTTGGTGGTGTCCTGGAGGAGGATGTCCAGCTCCTTCTCCAGCTCCTCGCTGTCAAAGTCTGCAAAGGAGGGGCCACGTGAGGATGCGGGCCTCAGCGAGGGGACCCACAAGGGAAGCCAGGGACTGCGGGTGCTGAATGGCGTGTGCTGGCTCCCCGGAGGGCGGGGAAAAAAACAGGTGTATTAAAGACAAAGGGGGAGCTCAGGCAAGTCCCCAAGGAGGCCAGGGAAGGGACTCTGCTTCCCCTTGTCCTTGAAGGAGGACACACCGTCTCGCACACAGACACTTAGGTGGCAGGGGGCCTCAGTTCACCCCACCAAGGAGCAAACAGGGACCCCCGAAAACTGCTCTGCAGAGGAGCCCCGGGCAACGCTCCAGGCTGGCCTATACCAGGAAGAGCTAAGGCCACATGAACACCCAACACAGCACAAAGGACGTGCAGTTCTCACGGAAGCAGACTCGGCATCGGCCCACGAACTCACCTATGCCATTGGTTACACCGCCAGCCAGAGTCTGAGAAACTTCATCCTGCGTGTCACACAGCTGAAAGACACAAGCGCAAGGGCCTGACCCAGGGAATGGCGCCCCTCAGCACCGCCACACCATCAGGCAAAACCGTGGCCTGGGCTTCGCAGCAACGCCAGCCTCTCTGAGGACCAAAAGCAGCTGCTTGCAGCCACCAGGCAATGGTCAAGTCTGTGAAAGGAGGACCCCAACAGAGTCCCAGCTGCAGCGTCTCTGCCCCTCCCTGTACCTCCTGGATCTGATCCACAAGGCTTTCTGCCTTCTCCACCGTGACATCCTTCATGGAGAGCTTCAGCGCTCCTACCCCAGCCTGGTAGGCATGGAAAACCTGAAGAGGAAACGGTGTTTTCAGTTTCAGTGGCAAACCTCTGGGAAAACACAGACCATATGGCTTTATCTCTCCAAGAGAGCTCTGGGAGTATTTTGGCCGCCCAAGCTCCAGTTCATCTCATGAGCATGGGGGCCGAGTCTCCCGACAGAAGAGAAGGCAACTCCAGGCCTCTTCCCCACAGCACGGCCCACGGAGGGGAAGAGCAGGCGTGCCAGAGCCGCAGCCAGGACCGGGCAGGGAGAGGCTTACCATCTGATCCGTCTGGGAGGCGTAGATGCGGTCCAGGATGCCTTGAACGGTGTCCAGCTTGGCGTGCAAAGCCTCGATGCGCTTCTCCGTCCGCTGCCTGGCCTTGAGAGACCTCAGTGCCTAGCAGGGCATGGAGACTTGGGTCAGGGCTGAACCGGGCAGCCCCAGGAGCAGGAGGAAGGTGGGCCTTCCCTGACAAGGAGACCACCTACAAGCCAGCTGCAGTGCTCCCGGACAACTCCATGACCCGGGAGCACCGAGCAGATGGCTCTCTGAGCTGCTGGGCCCCTCGCCCTGCCAGCCTGGGCATTGCTGTGTCTCCGGGGGATGAGAACCCACCAGCTGTTTCTTCCCAGCTCGGCACGCTCGGCGGGCTTCTTCTTTACACCTGTCAAACAGAGGGGTGAAGGAGGCTGTGTTCCAGGAGGCGGCGAGGGTCCTGGGGGCCCCCGAGAGCAGTGCTCGGGCAAGGCATCTCAGATCCACTCCACCCTAAGGCAGACCCCTTGCACAGTCACCCAAGGGGCAGGGGCAGGAATCCCCCGGAAAGACCCCAGGGAAGGCAGAGACTGGTCACTAAGACAATGTGTGGCATCAGAAATACCAGCTGACCAGCTGCCAGCCTGATGTTGACACGACCTGGGGCAAGCTCGGGGCCTTTTTATCGCCCTCTGTGATTGCTGGGGTTTCCCGGGGAAGGTGAGGCGCTCGGGGGGCCTGGAGGGATGGGCTTAATTACCTCTCCGCTTCCTGGGATAAGGATTCCACTTTGCGTGAAAGCAGTTGCTCGCTCTGCATCAACTGGTACACCCCGACGTCCACATCGTTGACAGGGGAGACCTTGGCATGTGGCCCCCGGGCAAACTTGACGATCTAGAGAAAGGCACACATCACTGCAGCCCTTCGTGCAACAGGCTGGCTGGCAGGTGGCAGGACTGTGGGGACACAGCCCCTGCCTCCCGTACCTTCTCCCCATTGTTCCCACAGCTGACAGGTGGCAGGCCCGCGGGGACACACGCCCCACCTCCCGTACCTTCTCCCCATTCTGCTCCCATAGCTGGCAGGTGGCAGGCCCGCAGGGACACAGCCCCGCCTCCCGTACCTTCTCCCCATTCTGCTCCAGCACAGTGACTCTCTTCTCTTTCTGCAGTTGCAGCAGCACCAAGTAGAAGGTCCTCTCATCTGGGCAGGAGTTGGCACACAGGGTGCTCAGCTCTGCCAGCGCCACCACGGGGTGGGAGGAGAGCGGGGAGTTCTGATACAGGCGGTACACCTCCTCGGCCTTTTCCTGTAGGGCAGGAAGACAGGCCTCCAGTTAGTCCTGACACCAAGCTCAGAACCGTGGCCGTGCAGAGCAAGCACAGGGACCTCATCCTCCATCAAGCAGTGACTGCGTTTTAAAGGTGTATTTTCTTATTTGAGAGATACAGACAGGCAGAGAGAGAGAGATATCTTACATTCACTGGTCACTCCTTAAATGGGGGCAATGGCTGGGGCTGAGCCAAACAGAAGCCAGGAGCCTGGAACTCGTTCCTAGTCTCCTCCGTGGGTGGCAGAGACTAGCTGCTCCCCAGGGGAATCAGCAAGGAGCTAGACAAAGTAGAGCAGCTGGAACTGAACTGGCGTTCAACACGGGGCATCAGCATCAGGCAGCCTAACCCACCGGAGCCACAACACCAGCCACAAGCAGTAGCTTCTTCAGAAGGAAGCAGGCTTGTGCTTTTTGAAACCTAGGAGGAAAGTCAGGTGGCTGTGTGTACTAAGAGGCACAGCTCTGCTCTTGTGCTTTCCTTAAGGACTACCTGCCTCTTGGTAGTCCATGGTTCCCCAAGGAAAGAATGAGGCAGCCATGTGGTGGAACAGGCTAGGGAATGGGAGTGCAAGCCTGCCGCCCAGCCCAGCCCAGCCCGTGTGACCATGTAGTAGCCAGTCTCTTGGTGCCCCTTTCACAGTCAGAAAAGGTGGGATGCGCTGACATCTAACCTCCCTTCCAACTCCCATCTTGTCAGACACAAACAGTACAGTCTAAAAGGACAGAGTTCATGGACAAGTGGGTCAGGGCTGGTGAGAAGACTCAAGAGAAAAAAACTGCCAAGAAACGATGTATTTGCAGAAATAACGGTCACACACATGACGTATTTACTGAGCTACCTGTATAGGATGCTGTGGAAATATGGGCAGGGAATGCCTGGCAGCTCAGAGCAGCAAAGCTGTCGAGCCGAATCCTGAAGTTGGGGTGAGTGACCCGGGAAGGCAGGTGGGAGAGGACCTCAGAAAGGGGGACCCCGATTGTGCACCTTGTGCACAGAAATACAAAATCAGTACTGTGTGTCTGCCTGTGGAGGGGAGGGGTTGGGCCAGGAGGATTTCGGTTCCATGTACATCGTACCGCCTTCCATGCCACACTTTATTCTGCAGGTGGTGGCCGTCACCAGGGGGAATGGACGTGGCTGGATGAGTAGGGAGCCGATACCTGGGAAAGGATGCACTGCGGAGCCAGGAGTAGAGGACACCTTCTTCCCTGTGGAAGGCCCGGGGCTGCACAAGAGAACACGTGGCCATGGGAGCAGGAAGGAGCAGCCCCAAGGAAAACGCAGAAGGTAAGACGAGCATTCCTCAGGAACTGGGAATGGGGCTGAAGGAGGAAGGAGGATGGGGTTCCAGTGCGAGGGTCTGGGATCTGATGCCATTAACCAGGAAAGACAGAACACGCCGTTCTGAACATGCTGCCTTGGGATGCCTGAGCAGATGACTGAAATGTAAATAGGAAGCTCAGAGGAGACAGGCGCACGGAGACCAGGACTGGGAGTCCTCCACATACGGACGGAACTCAAGGGGACATGAGACAGCCCTGGCAAAGCAGGGCGCGGAGGGCAGAGTAAAGTGTCAGGAGAGAAGGGGCCCGGGAGAAGCCCAAAGCAGCGCTTGGGGGAACCATGGCAGACGTGTGGGTGAATGCAGACAAAAGCAAGGTAGGATTTTAAGGAGCAAGGAACACACTGTGTCAAAGGCAGCCGAGGGGCCCGTTGACAGACCAAGGTTCGCGTGGGCTGTGTCGGCCCCGCAGAGAGTCATGCTTACTGCGAGGCCGGCAGTCAGAACAGCGGCACACAAGTAGGTTAACGGCATCCAGCATCAGCGACAGGGACTGACACAGCTGGGGACGTGTGTGAAAGAGAACCAGGCTTTCCCCCACCACAGGCACAAACCCAGACAGACTCCACTGCGGACTTCTAAAACAAAAACATCCAAATACCAAAGTAATTGTAAAACATAGACAAACACTCCATCAGGATTAGGCTTGAGACAAGGATGCTCTCCTAAACAAGATCCTACAGGAGAGCAGCCATGCGGGAGAAACAGACATGTGACTGCAGATATGAGAACCTCTGAGTGTGGGTGCAGGCTGAGAAAGGAGAATCTCCAAATGGAGGGAACTGGACAACACACCGAGCGAGAGGCCAACTGATGGGACGAGAGGCCAGGGGCCTGCTGTGCCGGACAGCGGGAGGACGCTTCTCACCCTGGGAGCCGGGCAAGACGGACTCAGTGGAGGTGAGGCTCAAGGCAGAAGGGCAGAGGGCTGAAGGCCTCAGCGAATTCACTTCCCAATCAAGCGCCTGCAGGGAGTACAGCAAGGGAGGGGGATGTCCAGCAAGGACTCTGGGGACTAGACGGAGCCTCAGTCTGGGGACGGGGGTGAGACAATGCAGAACTGACCCGGTGACTGCATGCCTACCGGGCATCTCTTGGTGTAGACCGCGACAGAGGAAAACGAGCTGGGGTAGTGACCAAGGGCATCATGCCAGCGTAAGAAAGTCAAGGCCCCAAGGGTCTGGCTGAGGCAGAGGAGCCAAGACTGGAGGAGGGGGGAGGCAAGCCACCAGGGAACTGGAATGGGAAGGGGACACAGGCAGACAGGAGGAAGGCTGGCTCGGCCTTGTGGATGGAGGGGCAGGTAAAGCTGTACCAAGACACCACCTAGATAGAGTGAGGCAAAGCATTTCCAGAACCGCGCTGTTAGCATTCGTCCCTCCAGATGCCAGAGGACAATTAAGTATCACTAGCCATTGCAGACCAAGGACCAACCATGCCGCAGGCATCAGTAAGCACCACCTTTGGTGATCAACTGTGCTGCCACATCGAAGTCTCTTGCCGTGTGTGCATGGGGACTGGGGGGGGACCCCAGCTCCCACTCCAGATGACCCCTGGACTCCGCCCTCCGAGCACCCACCTTGAGCAGCTCCACAGCCACGAGGACCTCCTCGGCCGGAACCTTATTGTCCCCCAGCATGTTGGAGAGAGTCCACTTGAGGGGCTTCAGCAGGAACACGCCGACTCCCCACGAGATCCAGCTACTATCCACGCTGGCCATGAAGTCCGACTCCCGCTGCAACTCCCCTCGGCTGCAGGAAAACACAGGGAGGTGCGTGTGGGGCACCCGGTGTGATGGCCCATGCCAGCCCCCACCTCCAGCCCCTGGAGAGGCATTGCATCTGTTCACTACTTCGGATCAGGCCCCTTTTCTGTGCCGTGGACACTGCTTGTATTCCAGCTCCAAGTCTGGCCACAACTCTGCTACACACGTGGGTGTGTGCAGTATTTTAACTGATAATGGGAGGGAAAAAAAATTGAGGGCCTAGCACGATGGGCTCAAAGACTAAACCTTCACCTTGCAAGTGCGCTGGGATCCCATATGGGCGCCGGTTCATGTCCCAGCTGCCCCACTTCCCATCCAGTTCCCTGCCTGTGGCCTGGGAAAGCAGTCGAGGATGGCCCAAAGCCTTGGGACCCTGCACCCACGTGGGAGACCCGGAAGAAGCTCCTGGCTCCTGGCTTTGGATTGGCTCAGCTCTGGCCGTTGTGGCCATTGGGGGAGTGAACCAGTAGATAGAAGATCTGTCTACCCTCTCAAAATCTGCCTTTCCAATGAAAATAAATCTTAAAAAACAGAACAGTGACTGGGAAGGAGACAGGTCAAATTCAAATCAGGATTGGTCTGGCTCCAAAAATCTATGAGAGGCACAGGAGGCTCCTGGGCCAATGTATACGTGTTTCCTTATAAACTGGAGCTCTGATCACAGAACACGGCCAAGCACAAGACAACGCAGACACACAGAGAAAAACCTCTGCTCTCGCTCGGGTTGGGCGGACGTAACTCAGCGGAAATGACAACATCTTGATTTGTCAACACACCCAGGCAAGATGAGCATGACCAGGTCTCACTGACCAAGCGGAGGCTTCCCGCACAGCCCCTTCTTTCTCTGGGGGGCAGTGGAGAGAGGCGGGGGAGGACCCACCCCAGACTTGGCTCTCCCTACCCCTTACTGCAGGCCAAAACTCAAAAACTTCCTACCGCACGCCTTCTCCGACAGCCGACTTCGAGGCTGGCTTCTCATACTGTCAGCTGGGGACAAAGTATAGAGGGGAGACCCCCTTGCACAGAAAATTGCAGATGACTTTGAAAAGGGGTGGGTGGGTGGGGATCTGAGGCAGTTCTCGCTTTCAGGCACTGGAGGGAGGGACCATGCGCTACCTCCAAACCAGCCATGGGACCCTGAGAAGCGACCTCATTCCACCCTGTGACCCTCAATGCTGCAGATAATTCTGCCACCTGCAGCTGAGAGGGGCACGCCAAGCATCTATCCTTCTGTGACATCCCTGTGGCCTCTGAGGAACCTCCAAATCATTGCACTTGTGACAAAAACGCAGCTCTGCGCCCTAAACTTACCATCTGGAACCCTGTCCTCCCCAAGATCGCTGCACGTCTCCCTCCAAACACCCACTGCCCCCGTTTCCAGGCTCCCCTCCTGCACCTTCGCCTGCCCACCACGCTCAGGAAGGGCCAGACCCCCGAGGGGCCGGGCTGCAAGGCGCTGTCCCCACCCCGGCCCCAGGCCCGCCCCTCACCGTAGCAGGTCCTGCAGCACCGTGGCCAGCCCCAGCGGGACGCTGCCCTTGCGCTGGAAGGCCTCCTGCAAGTCCCGCAGACGCAGGCGCACCACCCCCTGGCGGCGGCTGTGGCTCAGCACCAACGGCGCCCAGAAGCCCATCTTGCTGTCCCAGTCGGTGCTGTTCACCTCGCGACTCCTCTTGAAGGCGGAAAACAGGAAGGACATGCGTTCCTCATCTTCCTCCCACTCGGGGGGCAGCAGGCCCGCGGAGTCTCCTCCGGCCGGCGCCTCGGCCTCCCGCTCCGGGGACCACATCGGAAGCCCAGCCCCACCGAGGTTCCGAACACAAGCCTCGGCCCTGGTACCCTCTTCCGCCCAAGTCCCCTCTCGGCTTCCGTTCCTGGAACACCTCCTTTCCCCCTCCGTCAGCGCGTCACCGCCGCCCCCCGCGTGAAATAAGTCCTCCGCACGCTCACGGCGCAGGCGTCTGGCGGCGCTCCCGGTGCCAGGCGGTGGCGGGGGAGTGTGCCGAGTGACGCAGAGCGCCTGCGCCGACGACCTGCGGCCGCGGTCTTTGTGCGGAGCGGAGCGGTTTGCTCGTGCGCGACGGGGAGCGGCGCGTGGCGCTGCTGACGGAACCACAGAGTGTGGAGAAGCGTTCTAGAGAGGCCCACGAGTGGTTTGGCGTTAGCCGCTTGTAGCCTCCGGATCGGTGATGTAAAAAAGCGTTGTTAAGTCCGTTGAAGTCTTCGCCGGATCGTTCTTCCCTCCCGCCCCGTCGTACCCGTCCGCTGCGGACGGGCGTGTGTTTAAAGGGGAAGGGGCGGGCAGGTGCAAGGACCCGAGGGTCCCGCCGCGAGGGCGGTTGCTGAACAAAATATCCCATAAGCTGGAACGCTGCCCCGCTCCAAACCGTGCCGTGTTAGAATGAGAGCTGCTCTGTAGGAGACGCTGACCAAGAATTTCATGAGTAGTCAGTCTGTGTTGAGGGAGAATTTAAATGGAAGCTTTGGAAATGTGAAAGGAGCTGCTGGTTTGAAGGTTACCTGTTATTCCTTGTACCTAGTTGGCTGTGAGACCTCGGTTCCTGGGGTGAGTCCTAACAGGACCTAACCCTGTTTTTTGGAAAATTCATGTAAAAATCCTCATGTGGTTAGTTGGAAAAAAAGAAGTTATGGTCTACACTTGGTAGACTAGATGCTGTCACTGAGTTTCCTGGATACAGCAATTAGAATTCTGTATCAGAATCTTAATATGCACGTTAAAGGAATAGGATTGTACAAATGTGTGTAGCTGCTGGCATTTCCGGTGTGCGTTCAAGTTCGCCGGGCTGACCGGTCATTTCCCTAAGCGCCTCACGGTCAGTATTCCCATGTAATAATTACAACAATCCCGTGGAGTGTGTTCTGAGATGTTCTCCATCCTTCAGAAGAGAAAAATAAACAAATGGCCACAGTGGTAGGAGCTGACATGATTCAAAGCCAGGAGCCAGGAGCTTCTTTTGGGTCTCCCATGCAGATGCAGGGTCCCAAGGCTTTGAGTGTGGAGTGTGAGAGATCACACCAGACAATAGTGTAAGCTGTTACGTTCCAGGAGCCACTGCGACCAGTGGCAAACGTCAACAGTTATAAGCTTTCATCCTCCAATCAGATTGAGAGCCACACAGTACAAAGTTTCAGGCAGGAAGGGAGTTACCAGAGCCCAAAGTTTTCCTGTAGTTAACCCTGATCTGGCACACTAGCAGGCAGGAAGGGCCAGGCGCAAGGGGCCTCTGGAGTAATTCCCACGCTGTCAGTTGTTCTGAATGGTGGTGCAGGCAGGAGGCGCGGGTGCACTTTTCACACCTTCAGTTAACTTGACTGGGCGAGAGGAGGTAGGAAGGGCGAGTTTCCGTGCCCTGTCCACTGTCAGTTAACCTGACAGGCGAATGCGAGCCATCAATGGTGAACTGCCACTGCCGCCTCCCAGGGTCCACACGCAGGAAGCTGGAGTCGGGAGCCTCGTAGTAAAAGACCAATCATGCCAATATGGAACACAGGTGTCTTAATTTCTGGCTCAACCACTAGTCTAGGCACTCACCCCAAAGGTAGAAGTTTTAAATGTTCCTTACTAAATAAATGATAGAAAAAAAAAAACCCCAAAAACCCCCACACAGTAAAGTCAAAGATTTAAAAAAAAAAAAAATCAACTACCTTGATCTAATAAACATCTATAGGTAACTGTACCCAAAAGCTATAGAATGTCAATTATTTTTGAGCGCACATGGTATGTTTGTTAAGTTAGACCATAAATCCTGAGCCGTAAAAAAATCTTCATAAATTTAAAAGAGTTGAAACAATACGAAATACCTTCTCTAACCGTGATGAGAATGAATTAGAAAGCAAAAGCTACAGACTACATAGGAAAGGATCCTCTATTTTCTTCACAGCCCTGCCTGCTGGTCTACCCGGGATAATGGTGACAGCTAAAATCATTAATTTGGGCAGGGGACCAAGGTGAGGACTCGCTGAGAGTGAAAGAAATCTGTGACATTCTAGTAGCCCAGGAAAAGCTCTCCAGTCCACAGACCAGATTACAGCAGGAAAGACTTACTGAACGGAAAAGCTACGGTCTCAAGCAGAATTATTTGTTGTATTTTTTTTAGTTGTTAGTGGAAGCACATAACAAAGCTGCTTTCAACCAAATCTGAAGCCTTTAGTTTGCAAAATTGGATCCATTTTGAGTTAGTGGGGTTAATATTTGCGTACAGTACCAGACAAGGTCGCAACCTCATTGTTCTGTCCGCTTGCACTTGGCTCAGTACCAATGTATTGAAAAGATGATTCTTTCCCATGGAGTGGTCTTGGCAACCTTGTCAGAGCATTTCCCGTGAATGTGTGGGCTTTTCAGACTCAGTTCTGCCCCGTTGGTCTGTGTATGCTTTACTCACAGTCTTGAACGCTGTTGATGTGTGGAGACTTGAAATGCAGGAAGTGTCGGGCTTGCTTTGTTTCCCTTCCCCATGATTGGTTTCGTTTTCCTGGTTCCCCTGCAACTCCGTATGAATTCTAGAATGGGCATGGCAGTCTCTGCCAGGAAGTCTTCTGAGTAAGAAAGTCAGAGCTCATGTTGACCCGGTAGCTCAGCTTGGAGGGCTTGTCAGTAGAACAGTGTTAAGTCAATCCGGGAGTTAATGTATTTCCATTTATTCTGACTGCATCTTTAATTTCTTTCAATCATGTTTCACGTTTATTTTGTTCATTTTATTCCCAAATATGTAATGCTTCTTTTCTGGTTACCATGAGTGGGATCTTTTCATTTTATTTTTGGATTTTATAGTTTATATCGCTTGTTTATTTTTAATGCTTTTTAGTGAGTTTCTTCGGATTTTTCTTGGTATAAGATGAGGATATTTCTTGTTTTAGGCAACTACACGGATCCATTGTGCTTAGCAAAGTAATTCAGTCCCAAAAAGACACATTTCATAGGTTTGCCCGACCTGTGATAACTAATACACAGAGTGCAGAAAAAATGTAATCTTTATATGTGGGGTTGACGCGACAACCGAATCCTCGCCTTAGTCCGTGTTCTTCGGGAGCAACAGGTGTTTTGGTTTCTTCCTCACTATCTGTTGCTTGCTTTGGTTTGCTTTGCTTTTTCCATCATCTTATATTTTGTTTTTTTTTTTTTAACTTTTATTGGAAAGGCCGATTTAAAGAGAGAAAGATCTTCCATCTGTTGTTTTCACTCCCCAAAAGGCTGCCATGGTTGTGGCTAAACCAATCTGAAGCCAGGATCCAGGAACTTCTTCTGGGTCTCCCACTTGGGTGCAGAAGCCTAAGGCTTTGGGCCATCCTCTGCTGCTTTCCCAGGCCACAAGCAAGGAGCTAGATCAGAAGTGGAGCAGCTGGGATGAGAACCAGTGCCTGTATAGGATGCCAGCTCATAAAGGTAGAGGATTAGCCTGTTGAGCTGCTGCAGCTCTGCTCTTTCTAGCATCTTAAGGTAAAATATCAGGTGATCAACTTCAGATCCTACTTCTTCCTGAATCTAGGCGTTTACACTACAAATTTCTCTCTACGGGCCCAGTGCAGTAGCCTAGTGGATAAATCCTCACCTTGCAACTGCTGAGATCCCATATGGGTGTTGTGTCCTAGCTGCTCTACTTCCCATCCAGCAGTAGAGGATGACCCAAAGCCTTGGAACCCTGCACCTGTGTGGGAGGCTGGAGGAAACTCCTGGCTCCTGGCTTCATATAGGCTCAGTTCTGGACGTTGCAGCTGCTTGGAGAGTGAACCAGCGGATGGAAGAACTTTCTCTGCTTCTCCCTCTCTCTGTAAAAATCCGCCTTCCGTCACTGTGACTGGGCACCTCTCCCTGTGGTACATGAGGGCCAAGTGTGCCTTGGGCAGGGGAGGGCTGGGCTGCAGCACCCCTGGGTTTGCTGAGGGTCAACAAATTGATCAATTACCCCAGAACAAATTGATCAATTACCCCAATGAAACTTGACAGCAAATTTCTGAGCCAAAGGAGATTGAGAGGTGGACCATGACAGTCACTTGACCTCAGAAAGATTTCCTCTTCCATGGAGCAGCATCTCAGAACTACCGGAAACACGTGATCAGAACCCTCAGAAAATGCTCCACAGGGGGACCTCGGCATCGGCTGGTGGTCCCCTGATCTCTGGGGAAATGCAGCGGCTGGGGGCTGGGCACACCCACGTGTAAGTGAGACAAGTGAGGATGCCTAGGGGGAAGGGGAGGGGAGGCTCCTGGGAAGCCAGACCTTCCCTGGTTTATCTTCTCTCCTTTTTTCCTGGGAAAAAAACACAGTTGGACACTAGCCCGTACAGAAACAGCCCAAGATTTCCCATGACTAGCACTTGAAATCATTCCACCATCCAGCCGTCATCCCAGGGATGAATGACCTAGAACTTTCCCTGCAGACATCAAGTAAATTCTACAGAATGTCTGCTCAGTAAACCGGATCCACGCGTGCGTACTTCCGGGGGCAGTAACGTACACGTGTCTGTTGACAGCATTCAAGGTGGGGGTTTCTTTTTTCTTTTCCCTAGTTCATGGCATGTTTTCATCTTAATAGAAATGACTCATTTTCCCTTGTATTTGTCATATTGTAGGGTGTGTGTGCATCTGCCTATGGCTGACAACTCTCAAGGTGCTTTTCTGATACTTTGCGTGGGCTTATGTAAGCACGCCAAGGTCACTGTCCGGATTAGGCAACTACAAAGTAAGCGGGAAGGAAAAATAAAATCTGCCCCTTGAACTCTGGTCTCCGTCTCACGTACTTTGGATAACTTGCAACTACAAAGAGATGTGTGTGTTTGTTTGGTTTTTGTTGTTGTTCTCTAAACAGCAGAGAGACAGAAAGATCTTCTCCTGCTGGTTTACGGTCCCCAAATGGCTACAACAGCCAGGGCTGGGCCAGGCTGAAGCCAGGAGCCTGGAACCCCAGTCAGGTCCTCTGAGAGGATGGCGGGGACCCAAGCACCTCCGCCGTCCTCTGCATTAGCAGGGAGTTGGAGAAGCACCACAGCCAGCAGCTTAACACGCTGTGCCACAGCACAGGCCTCACGGAGGCTGTTCTTTTAAGGGCGCTCAGTTTTTATTTATTTGTAGGTCAGTGTTTACAGGTGACGGAGAATCCTGCGCCTGAACCTTGTGTGCGGTTGGCCCATGCCCTGGGCAGTCCCACTTGGACCTCTGTCCCCTCCATGTGCCACTTCCAACCAGTGCCTGTTTGTGAACTCTGGGCTCAGCAGGGGACCAAGGACAGGGGTCTGTCCCAGGAAGGAAGTGTGGACACTGACTGCCTTTGAAGGCTGCTCAGATCTAGAGGGTTCCTCTCACTGCCCCCTGGGGTGAAGGTGGGCTCTGGCTGCGTGTGGGGGTGGCTTCTTCCCTGGAGGACCCTCTGGGTGTGTCTCATGGCCAACGCTGCACACGGGCACAGTCTTTGCTTTTTCAAGAACAGTGTGGAGTGGCTGATGTGTCCAAGATTTGAACCTGGGTTAAAAACAAAACCTCAGTGACCACTCCAGCTCTGCTCCTGGCACACTGTGGAAATTGTGGTGTTTAGGATTTTGCATCGTTTTTCAGGACACTGCACGTTCTGTGTTGCTTTGGCAAACGTGGCTCACCTGGAGCTAGAATCGCACGCCATTGCAGGCACGTAGGGAACACGGCGCTCACGGAGGTGAGCGGTCAGGAGGCCCCATCTTCAAGCTCTACACGTCTCCCTTTCCAGGTCCTAGGGGCCACTTTGTCTTCTTCCCAGAAGGCTCCTGCTCTCTGCCTTGGCTGTTACCGCTGCCCAGAACCTCAGCGGGGAGGCCCTGGCCCCCTCTTTGGGAAGATGTGCCCAGGACTCCACCTAAAGCACTGGCTCTGCCAACGTTCGCCATATTTGTTTATTGACAGTAAACTTCACAATGGTGTGAAATTGGTCCATTGGTTGTCTTTCCTCCATCCTCAGCCCAGATGGCAGGTAGCCTGGGGCAGGCCCCCCAGTAAGGCATTCATTCCGTTCAGGGTGGGGTGGTGTCCTTGCCCTATGTGCGGGGCAGGCATCCTGCCTGTGTGACATTTGTATTGATGAAACCAAGCAATAGAAGTAAGGCCGTTCGGTACAAAATACTCATGTATTTATGAATTCATGACCAAATTAAATATGAAACCTTATATAAAAACAGGTGTTTCCCCCCGCCCCATCCTTCCATCCTCTGAGCCAGCTGAGTGACGCGAGGGGAGGGGGTTCCTACAGTGTGACTTCCTGGTTCCCCTGTGTCTCTGGGCTGGCCCCGCCGCCTCCTCTTGTCTTCACTCTAAAGCACCTGTTTCCAGGGACTGATTCCACACCTCCTCTCCCTCCTGCCCTTAACTTTGGGACAGGGACACCAGCAGTCACCGGGGGTGGGAGACCTCTGGGTGGCTCTGATGAGCTTGTGGGGAAGGAGTGGTGGGTCCCTGAGGGTCGAGCTGGCCCTGGCTGCCCGGCAGTTCTGTCTTCCTCCATCCTCACCAGTGCCCCCCACTGCTTTCCCTGGCTCCTTAGGACTGTGCACTCCCTCTCACCTGTCATTCCCAAGGGGGCACAGAGGTGTCACCACCCTGTCCCCCTCTGAGAGCAGGGATGGGGCATTGCACTGGGCTGCCACCACCACTCCCCTCTAATCCTAGCATGAAGTCATACTTGTCCTGCAGAAGCTTGGTGGGCCAGCAGAGGGCAGCATACTATCAGCTTCTCAGGCTACCACCTTGCACTTGACCGCGACACAGCCACAGCCTCAGCCTCGGAGGGGTCTAAGGCCTGGACGGCAAGGATCCCCACAGGGAGACCTGCTCTTTCTCTTCGTGGTGTTTTTCCACACATCCAGGATCTGCTTTGCTTGTAGCTTTGTTGTATAACTAACCCAGATCTATCAGCATTTGGGTGGTGGGGGCCAGGCCAGGGCCCTGAAACTAAAGTTGGGGTTTCTTTTTTGAGTTCTGAGCCTAGAACTCTCCATGGCTTCCTGGCCCACGCTTCACCATTGGGACATCACCTGTTACACCTCTAGAGGGGTGGAGGCTTGTTGGGCACAGGAAGCGGGACAAGGATCCGCTGAGACCTCGCTCCCGCCCCAGGGGGACTGTCCCCCACCTGTAACTCACACCAGCACTGGGCAGGGCCTGATGTCCTGCCCCTCCCCCACCTCATTCACAGAACTCTCTGCACCCTTGACTCTGCCTGACCTTTGACCCCCCCTTCCATCTCCGCCCCGGCACAGAGCACACACCCCGTGGGCTTCCACAGGGAGGTGGCAGGGAGGAACCTGGCCTGTATTCAAGAGGTCAAATGAGCTTAGAGACCAAAGTCCTTCTTACTACCCTGAAATCTTCAACCACCAGCAAGGCAGGAGCCAGGAAGCCGTGGGGTTCTGAGAGCTGGCCCACCGGGCGCCCACCCTCAGCCCGGGCGCCCACCCTCAGCCCAAGGCCCTGGGCTTTTCACCATGGGGGCCTTCATTTGGCTTTATGAAAAGATGCACGCTCTGCAGGTTCTTCTGGTTTCCATTCTTGGCGGTGCGGGGGAGAAGAGAGCGTTGTTGTTGATGGTGATTTGGTTGTTGTTTGGTCTGTTTTTTTTTTTTTTTTTTTTTTGCTAATTTCACCCCACCCCATAAAAAGCAGTGCCACCCGGAGGCAGAGGAAGGGGCCCCGGGGAGCATGGGACTGCTGGGCAGACCCCAGCCCCTGCTGCTGCTTTTCCTACCCAGCTCCCAGTCCGAGGCTTCCTCCGGAAGCAAGGGAGAAGTTTCCAGTTACACTGGTGCTGCCGCTTGCAGCCTGAGAGTTGCGTGTTCTGCAGCCGGAAGGGAGGCGGGCAGGATCCGAACGCCCGGCCCCAGGAGACAGACGCTTCGAGCTGAGATCTCGGGAGACTCAGTTGCTGCCCTGACTTCTCCAGTGAGGACACGAGTTGGCTCCAGGTGGCAAGGCCCTTTGCAAAATACTCGGCAGCCCTCTAGTCCATTGGCGAAAAAGACCACCAGTAGAGCAGGCCCCTCACCGCTGCCTGGGACGGGCGCTGTCTGCGTGGCCAGAACACAGATCAAAGACACACCTGCAGGCTCTCGGACCCATTCGGCAAGTCGACAGAGCCTGGCAGCTCGGTCCCTGCTCCCCGCCTGCCAGCAGTTGTCCCCTGCCTTCCCTGGGAGCTGGGAAGCTCTGTGGGCAGTCCCCCTAGTGCAGCCCATCCATCCATCAGCCGTCCAGCTCCTCCGTGTCGGCTGCTGCTGACGGCTCTGCCCTCAGGCTCCCGGTTATCGGGGTCCCCTTGCTGCTGTCAGATGGAAGGAGTGATGCAGAAGAGCGGAGGGCAGATGGGGGCGGCAGCAGCAGAGGGGTCAGGAGAAGGCAGCGGCTTCTCAGACCACGGCCGAGGAGGAGGAGGGCGACGAGGAGGCGGCAGCGGAAGAGGGCGGTGAAGAGGGGCTGTTCCAGAAGAGCCAGCGCCGCTTGGGCTGCCGCCTCAGGTGCAGGTAGTCCTCCTTCTCCCGCTCCTTCCGGGCACGCTGGTAGTGGTCCTCCTCTTTGAGATACCACACAGGAGGCCACCGGTGCTTCTCGAAGTATTCCTGGTTTTCTGCAACAGATCGCAGCAGGGCTGGGTTAGAAGCTGCGCAGAGGGAGCAGGAGGCACGTGGCCATGGAGGGCACACCCCCGGCAGGCACCTGCTCCAGGGATGGAGCACTGCCGGCCACTCGTCCCTGTCTTTAGTCCCCTCCACAGCAGCTCGCTGTGTGTGTTACAGGCTGGGAACAGGGAGAGAGAAGAACCAGGAACAAAGCCATGTGCAGGGACAGGGCACGGGTCGGGGATGAGTGAAGTCTCTGGCCAGGCCTGGGATTCTGAGGGCAACCAGCTAGGTAGGGCTGTGGCAGGCCCCACGGTTGGATTACCTGGCCTTATCCTTGGGGGCCTGGACAGCTGTGGTGGGGTGGGAATCGGGGCTAGACTCTGTACCAAACGAAGGGAATTCTAGGACACGAGGACAGGGCTGGGTGACAACCCATCTGGGCAGGATGGCGCGGCAGAGCAAACAATCCAGGGAGCATGGGTAGCAGCCCCACGGTGGGCCAGGAATGCCTCCTGGGGAGCCCAAGCAGCTCCTGTGGGGGCATCTAGGGCCAGAGATGCCAGTTGAGGAGAGACAGAGCTGCAGGAGAGCTTGGAGTGTGTCCTGGTCAGGGAGGACTAAGTGGGGACTGTACCCACTCCTAGCTCGTGACGTCAACTTAGTGCGTCATAAGCAGCATTTAAAAAAAGTTCCAGGGGGCGGTGTTGAGTTCGATGGGTTAAGCCACAGCCTGGGACCCCAGTATCCCGGATGAGCGCCGATCCATTCCGGCTCGGGAAGACAACAGAAGATGGCTTAAGTGCCAAGGTCCTTGCCACCTACAGGGGCAATCCAGATGGACTCCCAGGTCCTGGCTTCAGCCTGGCCCAGCCCCAGGCCTTGCAGCCATTTGGGGAGTAAAGCAGTAGACAGAAGATCTCTCTCCCTCTTCCCCTTCCTCTCTCTAGTTGTCCCTTCCAAATAAATAAGTAAGACAGGGAGAGATCTTCCATCCAAACCCTTGGGCCTTTCCCCACTGCTTCTCCTAGGCAAACTGGCAGGGAGCTGGCTCGGAGGTAGAACAACCAGGACACAAATCGGCACGCAGAAGGGGTGCTGGTGCTGCAGGGAGCTGTTTTACCTGCTATGCCACAACACTGGCCCCATAAATACATCTTTTAAAAATTTCTTGCTGATAGTTCTTAAGATGTGTCCAGGGTCTGGTGTATTTCCTTCCCATCGTGTCCCGTCCAGAAGCATGTGGGAGGTATTAACTAGCCCAATGACTGCCCGCGTTTCTGAGGAAGCAGAAGCCCAGAGAGGCACTGCGAGTTCCCCTTGCTCCTCACGTCAGCGCTCTTCTGCTCGACTGGAGGTGCCCAGGGGAGGCTGTCCCTAGTCCCAAGGTCAAGTGAGACCAGGACCAACCCCCTTGGCAGCATCCGGGACTCACCTGGGGACATGGCCTTCATGTCGCGGGGGAACTTGCGGCACACGTTGTTGTAGTTGGTACAGATGTGGTGCAGGCACCAGTCGGCCAGCTGGTGGGCACAGTGGAACTGGGGGCAGAACGGAAGAGTGGGTGGTGGTGAGGCCCTGGGCTGGGGCATCTGGCCAGACACGGGGCCCCTGGGATTCTGATGATCACGTGGAGCACCCGCCTCAGTCCTTGCCCCATGTGCCCCTCCAGCTCCCGTCGGGCCAGAGCAGTCTGCCATAAGACACGACAGGCCAACACCCGTGCACATCCACAGGTCTTGAGTCAGTCTCACTGCAACTTCCTCACCTGCACCATGAAGGCCAGGATGGGAGGGATGGCCCACGTGCTTGGGGTTAAGGGGGTGGGTAGTTAATTTCAGTGTACCCCCTTGCACATGACGTAGGGCATGTTAGCACCCACATATGTGTGGGAGACTGGGGTTCCTCCCACACCCACCCCACCAACCCCTGCCCTGTGTTGGCCTGAGGCCTCCGTGAACAGCTGTCTCCTGGGGGCAAGGAGTGCTGTAGCTGCTTCCTGGTACAGAGGATGAGATGTCCCCAGGGAACCCATCTGACAGGGCCCCTTCCAGCCTGCCCCACCACTGGTATCTGCAGGCACAGCCTCAAGTAGAGGATGCGGCCGACTCCTCCCCTGCCACGGTACCTGAGCCAACTCCAGGAACACCAGGACGTCGCCATCGATGTCCACCATCATCTGGGTGGCTTCCATCAGCCCGGTCACTGTGTACTGCTCTGTGACACACACAGCCAAGCCGTCAGCCTTGGACTGCAATGCTGCACCTGCAATGCCTCATGTGCCCAGCAGGGAGCACTGCAGGGCCAGGAGCAGGTTACAACCAGACTGCAGGCTGCTCCCACCAGCAGCTCAGAGCAAGATGTTCTGGGTGGGGCGTTAGCGGGGGGTGGAGTGGGGTAGGAAGGTGGATGTCAGAATCCCCTGAGAGGATTTCTGAAGCTACAGACAAGGTTGCTCCAAACAGTTCGTGGAAGTGGCAGGAATAGGGAAGTGTAGTCTGCTGGAACCGAACGTTGAGATGCACACACACGGTGTCTGGTCAGGCAATCTAATATGCATAGACTCCCAACAGAAAGTCCCTGCTATGGACAGGAGAGGGCGTGAGGCTGGGATCTAACCCAGATGCTGCAATGCGTGCCTTTGGTTTTTCTTTTTCTCCCTAGTAACATTTTCCACATTTCCCAACCCTGTCCATGGAAATAAGTACCCTCCTCTCCCCGGAGTGCTGAAAGTTCCCACTGCACGGAAGCACAGCTTCCATGCCCAGCCGTAAGAAACCAGGACTCCTTGGGAGAATGAAGGGCTGATTCCAAGGACAGTGCTGGAAGGGGGTGGTGGAGACCACTGAAATTAGTGGGAACCCACAGAGCAGGCTCACTTCGAAGAGTCCTCACTAATAATTCTTAAAACAGACTAGTCATCCTCAAAGGCTAAGAGGAAACCAATTTACCTGGAAGACCACTGAGTCAAAACCCCCAAAGTCCCTCAAGCCCCCAAAGCCTGCCTTTGTGGTGTGAGCCATACTGCTCGGTGACCTGAACAGTAGCTCAAGGGGCATTCTTCCCGCTTTACAAGTTTTCCAGCAGGCTAAAGGAACAGGAAGGATTGGATTGGGAATCATAGAATTTTCAATATTTTAAGTCAGCGTGTCCTCAGCAGCTGCTAACAGCACAGCAAGAGAAAGGAACAAAAGCACACAGCCCGCACGTCTGGATGCAGATGGAAAACACCTCATGGCAGTAGTCTTCCCCCAGAGAAAATGTGCTCCTGACCTGGCCTTTATTATCCAAATGCCAGCGTGTAGGGAACTGGGCGGATAAGACGCCTGGGGTGAACTACCCCATAGAAACGCAGTCCACTAAGAGCTGCGTGCCGGGAAACCCAACGGGAGCCGAAGGTCAGGACTTTTTGTGTGTGTTTCCAGAAAATAGACTGCGTGGTGGGGGGAATGTTTAAGCGGACGAGGTACTCATCAAGAGACATAAGAGATAAACAGAAAACAGAATCATGCTGTGCTATCTGAGGATGCTCATGGGGATGATATGAAGGCAAGTGAGGAAGGAAGTGCACCCAGAGCAGCTCAGAGAGGAACACTGGCAACGGGGCTTCTCTCGGGGTGGGCAACGGGACAAGGTGGTGCAGACTCTAGGGTTGGAGGGGACAGGTGGAGGCTCTGTGTGGCTAGCCAGGGACTCATTTCTGACGGTTCGTGTATCGTTTTAGGTGCTCTGTGTAGTCATCAGCAGTGTTTAAGTTTGTACTGATGACTTGGTAGGAAGTAGTCTTCACTGGTCCTTAGCAGGTTGGACACACAGGCTTGTGGCTGAGCTTTCTGCTGTGTGTTGACCAGTGGGGAGCAGTGCTACTCCCTGCTGCTCTGTGCGCACCCATTGGTGGAATGAAGCAGTTCACCATTTTATGGCGAGCCACCCATGAAAATCACGTGGCGTGCTCAGCCGATGGTGTTGCCCATCATCTATCTGGCCAGGATGAAATGGGACTTAAAGAAACAACGTTATGCTTTCACTGCCCTTTGGGTCTTTTCTTGGAAAACTTCCGTTTTTGTATTTTTTTTTTTAAGGGAATCTGAGGCTGTGTGCCCTGGACAGGCCACATGGTGTTTGGTGGGCAGCACCACCTGGAAGGATCATTGATTTCTGCTCCTACCTCACCATCCATGTCTCATCACCAGGTTGCTGATTCCCCTCACACCTGGCCCAGTGTTGGTCACCTGCCCAGGGCCCACCACCCCCAACACGGGGTGCTTGCTCAGTATCTGAGGCTCTGCCCTCTGCCCCCGTATCTTCTGAACCATCGCCAGTACTGGCACCAACTCCCAAACCAACATTGACACAGATGCCAATGCCAGCGTCCACAGAAGCCAGCCAGTCCACTGGGCACACTGGTCTCAGACTGCCCGCTGCGTGGTGCCCTTGCTGCCCCAGCCTGGCTCTGCCCAGCCGGCCTGAAGGACTAGATCCATTCTACAACGTGAGCTCCGGTCCCTGTCGTCATTTCTGGGAATGAGGTGTAGGGTTGGCCAATGTTCTCTATATTTCTGGAGGAAGGAAGAGAAGCAGTGAAAGGGAGAGGAAGTAGAGAAGAAGAGAAGGAAGGGGAAGAGTGGAGAAGAGAAAAGGGAGAATTGCCACCACTACCAGCAGCAGCAGCACGGGGTACAGGTGCGGACTGGGTTACAGTCTTTGGGAACTTCAGCTTGCTCGAGTGAAACCAGGCTGAGAACATGATGCTCAGCATGTAAACACACCCAGGAGTGTGGCTCCAAGGGAGGGCCGGGGAGCCTGCCTTTTTCTCTTTTGCCAAGGTACATCTGGATAGTTATGGCATCACGCAGGGGGCCACACAACATTATCAACTGGAAAACCTGCCACCTACAGATGTAATGGATTTCAAGTCTCACTCGTGGTGGCCTTGGCGAGAGCCAAAGTTTATATAGCCTGGGGTCCAGCCATTCTCCTGCCCTGCTCTAAAGGTGACCCCTCAGATATCTCTGTCTCTCTCTCTCTCATACACACATGCCCTCGCATCTCACGCCCTCGCATCTGTATCCCATGGCAAAGCCCCGTTCCCATCGGTAGATGTCAGTTATGTAAGCTTCCTCCCCCGTGAGGAGACAGGTGAGAGATGAACACAGGATTGATCCCTCCCTGGGGCCTCCCCCACCTGGCACCCAGGACGGGGCCCCCGGGCAGCACGCTGGCCAGTTACCTGTGAGGGCAACCAAGTGTGGCAGGCAGAGGCGGTTGGCCAGGATGATGAGCTTCATGTCGTCCAGGTCGGGAGTGGATGTGAACATGCCAGTGTAGAGGTATTCCAGCACCGCCCGCATGCAGCTCTTGCTCGTGTAGGGGAATACCACCTGGACGGGCACGCAGGAGGCACAGCTCAGGGAGATGGGGACTCAGCCCAAGCAGCTGAGCACCCTTCCCTGCGCTGCGCATGTCCAAAGGCCTGGTCCCCTGGAACCACCAGCAGCTCTGAGCCCCACTTTGGCAGGCAGCACTATGAGGGACAGGACTCTTTAAGAGCTTTTCAAGGGACCTGAAGGAAGGAGATTGTTTAACACTGCCTATGATGCCAGCGTCCCATAGGAGCACTGGTTCAAGTCCCACCTTCTCTGCTTCTAATCCAGTTCCCTGCTGGTGTGCCTGGGAAAGCAACGAGGATGGCCCACGTGCTCCCTGCTCTGCACACATGAGACCCGGATGGAGTTTCAAGTTCCTGCCTTTGACCTGGCCCAGGCGCAGGCTTGGTGGCTATCTGGAGAGTGAACCAGCAGATGGAAAAACACTCTCTCCTCCTCTCTCTGTAACCTTGCCTTTCAAATAAGTAAATCAGTCTTACTCCCCAAAAAACTTGAATGTTACATTAAAATATGACTTCTTTAAAAAATACAAAGGGTCCGGGATTTTTGCCAGCATACTTCTGATGAAGTCCTTCTGCCTGGAGGGACACTTAGAGAAGCTCTTGTCACCCAGCCCTGTAGTGCTCCTGCCCCGACACATGGTGGTGGTGGCACAGCAGAAGTGGGCAGGGAGCGGGCAGAGTGTGTACCAGCTGGCTTCTCTGTGGCTGCTCTGCGCAGCTGCCCTGGGCCTCTGGGATCTCTCCAGAGCAGTGCTGCAACAAAAACTGCTTTCTCATCAGGGGCATGTCTCTCAGGGCCATGCCAGGAGCAGGCTGGAGCTTCAAAGCTGGCATGGGAGAGTACTGAGCAGTGCTGAGGGCCAGCAGGGGCCCCAGGGGCTCTCCAGTTCCCAGGCTTATGCTATGAAGACCCCAGTCCCACTGCTGCTTGGGAGAACTCAACTGGCCACCCTTGTGCGCAGCCTTCTGTTAGGACTTCTGCTCAGAAATCTTGGGATGCACACAGCTCTGAGTCACAGCAAGGCGTGGGGCTGTGGTAGGGCTCGCGTGGGGCCTCTGGTGAACACTTACTGGGGAGCAGGCTAAGTGGGATGCTTGGCAGTGCCTGCACTAAAAAGCAGCTACAGGTCAGTGTGTAAGACTGTGCAAGTACACATCTAGAGCCTCATGCTTGTGCTACCTGCAGGCTGTGTGACAACAGGCAGGTGGTCCAGCAGCTCAGAGAAGAGAAGGGACACAGGCCCAGGCCATGCTTATGGGCCTGGAGGATGGATGGGAGAGCCCCCAAGAGAGTGGCAGAGAGAACAGGGGAGCTGGAAGGGCACTGGGTAGATGGAGGGGCAATTCTATGAAGCATGTCTTTATGTCCTGTACCGAATCGGTTATTTTATTGAGCTCTGCCATGCAGAGAGAAAGATAGACACACACAGATCTGCCATCTACTTGTTTACTCCTCCAAATGCCTACACCTGCCAGGGCTGAGCCAAGGAAAAGCTGGGACCCAGGAACTCAACTCACATCTCCCACATGGGTGACAGGGGACCCCAGAACTTGGAGCCATGCACTGCTGCCTCCCAGGGCAGGCACCAGAAGCAGGAAGATGGAGTTGGGAACAGAGTCTCCCAGGCAGCATCTTTTCCACTGCACCAAATGCCTCTGTTTTCTCTATTTGGATGCTTTAACACCTTAAAGCCTTGCTGGCCAACTCACAGAGCTAGGAAAGGACACTCTGCATGGACATCTGTGGTGTGTATGCCCACGCCCTGCCCCCAACCTCCTCCATCAGACTCATACCCCAGGCCACCGTCCACCCATCATGGGGGCTCTGGTACCAGGGTCAGCCCCTGAACCCCAGAGCAGGTCAGAATCACCCAGATTAACCAGTCCTAAGCCTGAGTATCCTGTCTCACCCGTTCCTTCCCACGGAAGCCCTCTGCCTTCTGAGCAACTCTGGGGCTTTCTGGGGGTCCTTCTGCTCTTGGAGCCTATAGCCAGCTATCTTTCATGTGGCAGTCACCTCCTTATCTGTTGATCTCACTGTACAGGAGTAACAAAACTACTTTTAAAAACTGATGGCTTCAACAAAGGGGCTCCTGATGCCCCCCCCCCCCCGTCATTTCAATGTGTACCAAGGACGTAGAAAGATCCAATGTACAATGTCAACAGCCAAGAGATCAGAAGTCCCAAGTTCAAGAGTTTGGCTCTGCTTTCTACTTAGGCCAACACTTTATAGGTCACTTTACTTCCCTTTTCTGACAGGTAACTTAGGAGTGCCATGCTGGGCTTGAATGTCACGTGGGATTTCATTGGGATCATGAAAGTGAAAGTGCTGTCTACACTACCAGGCAGAGTTATTGCCATAACTCCCTCTCCTGGTTTAAGTGTAAAATCCCCTTGGCTACCAGAACCATTGCATAAGCTTCTGGGGCCATCACTCTGCAGTTGGCACAGTGCTGGGAAAAAAAAAAAAAAACCCAACAGAACTCCAGGAAATGGCAAGTGGTTTGGGCACAAGGGGTGTAGACTTCCATCTACCCTTTCCTCCCACGCCCTTCCTCAGCCTCACCTCTCTGGTGGAACTCTCCACGAACGGCCCCCCAAACATGGCAGCCATCCAGTCACAGCTGGAAATCAGCAGGGGCTTGTGTGCGCTGATGGTGCCATCGTCCAGGATGAAGGTCACGTCTGTCCGAGAGGAGAGGACAGAACGTAAGGAGGACACGGAGGGACAACATGGGCTCAGCAGCCCTCTAGAGTAAAGCTGCCGTGCCCAGATGAGCCACCTTCCTCCTAAAGCCACGAGACATGGAGGTCCCCGCCCACAGGAGCACAGCGGACAGCCACACCTCCAGAACATCAGGGGCCAAGGCCCAGCCGGAATGCTAATGGGACCCATCCAGAAGAACTGCTTCTGAGCACGGCGCCTACCTGAGAAGGTGCCTTTGGCCAAGCACTCCTTAACTCGATTGGTGCGGCGGACGTGGAAGGCCTTGGTGATCTCCTGGTTCATGAAGGCCTCATTGTTGAGGATGTTGGCCACCATCATGCGAAGGTCGAAGACCTCCAAGAGCTCAGCGATGTGGGCAATGTGCAAGAGGTCCCGTTCGTTCTCGCCCAGCTCCCCGGTATATAGGTACTTGAGCACAGCCCGGAAGGGCCCCGGCTGGATGGAGTTGTCCATCTTTACCACCACCATCAGCCGCGACTTGTAGGTCAGGGGATCCTCGGCCATCTCCTCCTGAATGCTTACAAAGGCTCGGCTCCAGGAAGACAGCACGCGACCCCTGCCCGGCAGGTACCCTGTACCGTTGCCCCTTAAGATTCCATCGCTGGTGGAGGCCCGCAGGCCGGCAGGGCCCGAGCCCCCAGCCTCATCCACACTCTCACACACATCAAAGCTGGCTGCACGGAGCAGGAAGTCCCGCCCATGGTGGTGGTGGTGATGGTGGTGTTGTTGGTGTTGGTGGTGGTGATGGTGGGGCTGTGGTTCAGGGTGGCCCCGGGGGTCATCTGGGCAGGGGCCACCTGGCCCTGAGGAGCCCCCCAGCTCCCCCTCGCTCAGGTCCATGAGGAACAGGTCGTAGAACTTGGAGGAGGAAGTGGAGAGGTAGATCTTGTGGGCAAAGATGCGCACGCGCTCCTGCAGCACCAGGATGACGTCCGCGCAGAGCGGGTCCTCGAGCAGGTGGGCGGGGCACTCGTCACTGCCAGTCGGGGGGTCGGGCACCACAATGATTGGGGGTGGCGGCTTGGGGGGCAGGAAGGGCGCCTGCAGCAGGGGCCGCTGCACATTGCGCAGGTGGGACTTCCAAAACTGCAGGTGGCGGCGTGAGATGAGAGCGGCCCGGATGGCGTTGTCAAAGACGTCCTTGATGCCAAATTGGGCCACCACACTGGTCTCGTAGTAGGGAATGCCCAACTCCTTGGCCACCTCCCGCCCCTTCTCTGGAGGGAGGATCTCATTGGGCTTGATGGGCCTGGAAAGTACAGTAAGAGAAACGGAATGTGCAGAACTTAACCTCTTCTCGAGGCCATGCCTCCTTGGCCTGCCTCCCGCCCTGCTCTTTGTCATCTGTTGAGCCTCCCAGACCCGCCACCAATCCCGTCTTCTTCTAGGAAGCCTTCCCTGTTTGAGGCCGGGCCCCAGGGACTTCCCTGTTCTCTGGCACTTAAAATGAGCAATGCTCCATGCTGAAGTGGCACATGCTTGTGTGTGGCGGTCCCTCGATACCCACAAGGGGAATGGGTCCAGGACTCACACAAATACCATAATCCAGGGCAGTGTCTTAAAGGAAATGATATTGCGTGTACACAAATGAGATTTGTGTACAACCTAGGTGCTGTACACCCTAATCATCTCTAGATTGTCTCAGATTCCTAATACAATATAAATGTTATGTAAGTAGCTCTTACATTGTGCTTTTTAGGGAAGAACCACAAAAAAAAAAATTTGTACCTGTTTGGCACAGATGCAATTTTTTTCTCGCTTGAGTTGACAGATGTAGAGCCCACAGTAAGGAAGGCTGAATGTACTTAACTTATCTCCAAAAAAATTAAGACCCGGGACTGCCACCACCGTTTAGTAGGTTAAGCCTGTACCTGTGGTGCTGGCGTCCCACCTGGGCACTGGTTCAAGTCCTGGCTGCTCCACCTCTGATCCAGCTCCCTGGTAATGGGCCTGGGGAAGCATCAGAATTCTAGCCCAAGGACTGGGGCCCCTTCACCACAGCTGGAATAAGCTCCAGGCTCCTAGGTGCAGACCAGCTCCCTGGCTGTTGCAGTTCACACCAGCACATGAAGATCTCTCTGTCTATCCCTCTCTCTAACTCTGTCTTGCAAATAAATAAAATTTTTTTAAAAAGCAAAACAAAACAAAAAAAGACTCCCTCTTTAAAAAACAACTGTGAAAGCTCTTGGCGCAGTTGGCACCCACTCCTGTCTTTCCTCACAGTGCTTAACACAGTACTCCCCGCATGGGAGAAGTGTGACAGACATGTGAATGAGTGAAGGAAGGCATGAATGAACAAGCTGCTTGGCTCCCAGCATGAGCTTGTAGGCACAGATGGAAGACTCCAAGGATCTCCCTCAGGGCTGAGCAGGAGTCATGGTGATCCGCTTCTCTCGCACAGCCTCCTCTCCTGCCGCGCCCCCCGCCCCTGACCCCAGGCATCCGTGACCCTACCTGGCCAGAGGCCGCCGAGCTCTGTTGACAGCCTCCAGGTCGGCATAACGCAGGTCCAGCTGGCACCCGACCAGGACGACAGGTGCTCGAGGGCAAAAGTGCTTGATCTCTGGGTACCACATGGTCTTGACATGGTGCAGGGAATTAGGGTTGGCAATGGAGAAGCAGAGAACCACCACGTCGGATCTGGCAGGGGTGAGAGGGGAAAGAACTTGGTCATGGGCAGAAGGACCCTGCAGGAAGCCACCTGCCCTCAGAAGTGGGGAGTGAGGTGCAGGGGAGAGGGGTATCTCCCTACTCCGACCCCGCAGCCCCACACCTGGCCAGTGGACTTGCCCTATCATCTACACAGCACAAAGTCAAGGCTCTGTGCTGTTACGTGGCATTTCCGAGATCCTGGCTATCTCATGAGCTACAAATGTCCATTGCTCACCATCTCAGGGCTCAGAGACAGCAGAGCTGGGAGTCTGACCCGGCCTGCCGACTCCACACGCCCTGCCCCTTTCCACCGCCCAGGTCAGCTGCTGGTCTCCCACAAGGGGCTGCAGTGCCATTCATTGTCCCCACTCTGCTTCCCAGATGACATTTCATGGGCTTGCTCAGTTCCTCAGTCCCACCTCTGACACACACACACACACACACACACACACACACACACACACACAGCTCCATGCCAGCCGCCAGAGCCTGCCATACCTCCCATAGGCGAAGCGGCGGTCTTTGTGGTGGTCCCCAAAGGTGTCCCAGAGACGCAGGGACACGCTGACATCGTCTACTACGTCTCGGGAGCGTTCCAGAACCTGAGGGAGGGATACAGGAGGTAGGAGCTGCCATTCTGGAGACACCCCCATTCCATACCCGTACCCTACATGTCAGCTCTTGGTGGATGCCAGCTTGCTCCTGAGGGTCCCAGGTAGGCAGAAATGGCAGGAAACTGCCGAGGCAGGGCTGGGGTCTTCTACTGTGGGCTTTGCACAATATTTTCATGCATGCGAAACCACAGCAGTCAGGAAGTGCCAAGGGCTGCTTCCATACTGACCGGAAACAGAAGAGGGCAGGCTGGGGCAGAAGGGACTTCTTCAGCGTATACCCTGCAAAGCTCTCCACTCTCTCTTAATGGTAGGTGTGTCTGACAGCTTTGGCCCTTTGCTGTTTCCTGCCAGCTTATTCCCTCCTCTCAGTACCCAACCCCAGGTTCCTCACTTCCTGTGGGGGCGAGGACTGCACAAGATGCACAATTCCAGACAAAGCTGGGGTCCCTGGTGTTGGCTTAGGCCACTGAACAGGCAGGCGGTCAAAGATGCCTGCCCCAGGAGTGGGCTCCCTCCTCTTCAGCTGCCCCCGCCCCAGCCCAGCCCTGGGAGGCCTCTGTGAGCTCTGGGAGCCATCGGAAAGGGGCCTGCAGCCTTACCTCCTGGCACACGCGATACTGGTCGATGGCCCAAACGGTGGGCACGTGGGTGGCAAGCAGCTGGTACTGGGTGAGGGTGGCATTGCAGGCCCGGGCACAGATGAGCCTGGTCTTGCCCACAGCGTTGTCCCCCACCACCACGCACTTGATGGTCTCTACGTTTGGCCTTTCATAATCCATGTCAGAATCCATTAATTGGGACCTGGCGAGGAGGAGAGAAGCAGTTGGGATGGCTTGGCAGGCAAGCCCCTTGGAGGGTCCAGGGTAGAGACAGAGCCTGTGGCTCTTAGGTGGGCAGCTCCAGCACAGTGCCAGGCACTGGAGCTCCAGGAGGGGGAGTAGGCAACTTCTGGGGCAGCAGCTCTGCAGGAGGCAGGGCCCATTCAGACAGGAGACGAGGGAGCGTATGTGTCTGTCCGCCCTATGGCCGGCAGCCTCCAGCTGGGTTCCTGGGTAGAAGATGCTTACTGAGGGTTCCACCCGCAGCCCCCAGAGGCAGGAAACTGCCTGGGAAACCACTCAATAGCTGCTCTCTCCTTGCCTGGCAAGGCTGGGGCAGCAGAACAAAACAGCTGAGAGAGGCAGAGCTAGGGCCAGGTCCCACCCTTTCCCGGCATGCCTGAGGATGGGCCCCTTAAAAATTTAATGGGCTTGTCAGGGATGAAGACGGCCGCTCTCCTGGCCTGCACAACCTCCCTGGTGGTGGGCTTCCCTTCAACCCAACCGCAGCCTCTTTTTATTTAGGTGTATGCCAGAGTTTTTCTTGCCAGCCTTCAGGGGCAGAGGAGACTTCAGGGCATACACGACTAGCTAATGGGCGTTGGACCCTCTCCACTGGGTCTCCCACTGCTTGCCTGTCCTGCTCAGCTTTGAGGCCATGCAGCGGCTAACTTGTGACCGCACACCCCCTGGCCTGTGGCCCTTCCTGTTATCTAGCCCCAGGAGGCTGTGCTCCCAGCAAAAGCAAAGGAGGTGCAGCTAGTCCTGCGCCTCCCATCTCAGCTGGAAAACCCCAGGGGCTGGCTAACTGGGCTACCAGGGGAATGCAGTTGCTGTAGAGAGCAGAGGATGGGGCACTTGGGTGAAGTGTTTGCCTCAGTTTCCTGAGGCTCAGAGGAAGAAGTGTGCCCACCCACAGAGAGTACTGGCTCGTGGGAGTAACCAGAAGGCCTTGCTCTAGTCAAATGTCATGACCATGTTTCCAAAGCTGCTGCCAGGAGGCCCCGGGCCTGAGGGGGATTTCACTGGCAGCCTCCCAGTTGGCAGCCACCCTCCTGGAGGGGTGAGAGGAGAGGCACTGGAGGCAAGCTCGGTTCTCCCCAAGGCCTTGCACCTTGCCCTGCTCCCCTTTGAGTACGCAAACACTTCTGGCGGCCAGACAACCTGGAGTCGACCTTTCCAGGCCCAGGAAGGCTGGAGGCCCAGAGGAGTCCTGGAGCACGCCCAGGCCCCCAGCAGCCAGAGAGCCAGTGGCTCCCTCCTGCCAGGCTGGAGCTGGATGCCAGCATGCAGGAATGCAGAGCCGGCCTGAGGATCCAAGTCATGCTGGCACCTGGGATCTGCGTGGCTGGACGCACATCTCCAGGCTGAGCGTGCGGGAAGGTCTCTCCAATGAGACGGCCTCCTCTAGCTGGTGCCTGCAGTCAGCTGGGATCTGGGCTCTTCTACAACAAGGCGTCTCCATTCTGCCCAACCCAGGGCCTTGACACTTTCTGAACACAAGTCAAGTAGCTGAGGGCTGTGTCAGTGCCAGGATCTGTCACCTAGGCTGCACCTTCCACTGTGCATGGAGTCCCAAAACTGGTCCCCAACTCCACAACCAGTACAAGCTGCAGGAGAAAGGTTCCGGCCCACAGAACTTATTTCTCAGGTTTCCACTCTGGCAGGGTGCAAAGAGGCCCTGGAGGAGGGCATGAGTTCCAGGGAGCCTCTGGAGAGTGGGGATAGTGCGAGGGCAGCAGCAAGGCAGTGCTGGTTCAAGTCTGGCTACTCCATGCCAGAAACACTTCATGCATGCCTTATGTCGGGTCACCTCTAGGGTGAAGCAGGGGACGGACAGCTAACAAGCAGTAGAGCAGCCAACAGCAGACCTGCTAGATCACCGCCCCGCTCCCCATCAGCTCCCCTCAAACCCCTACCATTTCTCCTTTGCCTGTGTTTAATAATCCTCGCCCACCATCTCTGGTCCCAATTGCCTGACTGGCAAACCTCACTGTCCCATCTGGGAAAGGGCAAAACACTTCACTTTTTTGGGTATCAGTCTCCCTCTCTGGAAAATGGGTATGATGCCTGCCAAATAAAAAGAAAAAAAATCTTCCCAGGTCTTGGGCGGATCTGTGCCAAGAGGGCCTGGGCTGAAAGGAAGGAATTTGTCTTCTTATGTAATGTCGCATTATATAATGCTAGGTTGCATATCTATATGTATAATGATATCTCTTTGAGATAACAGACCAGCCCAATGAAGCCAAGCAGAAGCCTTAGTTGAATTATGCCCGTCTGTAACAGGGATCTTGCCCAAAGGAAGGCGTGCCCACAGTAACACAATCATGAACTTAGAGTGCCACCTGCCCCAGATCATTGCTGGTGCACAATGATACAGCCCCTCTGTGGGCAACCCCATTGCACGGGCCCACCCCATGCCCTTCCCTCTGGCACACTCTCCTTCCATGACTCTAGACTTTTCCTCACGGCTGCCTTCTCCCCATCCCCTCCGAGCCTGCACAGCCCCATGGCTTCCGGCTGCCCCTCCCTGGGCATCACAACCCCCCAACTGGACTTCTCTTCTGCAACAATGGCAAAGCCGTCACATGTGTGCAGTCCTCTGTCCCACCACACCCAGCCCAGCCATACTCCCTGTCTCTGGCCAGTCCGGTCCAAAGCCCAGGGTTGTACTCAGATCAGGGACAACCCTCACAGGTTCCCACCCACACCCACACCCCTCCACACTTTCTTGGAAAGCCCACTCAGAAAAGGCCCCCTTTTCCCTCCCACAGACAGTGGGAGGCTGCTTCATCTGAGGCCGCCCTAGTCTGGTTGTCAAGGAAACCACAGAATCTCCCTGGGAGCCTGGCTGGTCTCCTAGCAACCGATATCCCACATCCTGCATCTCACCAAAACGTGAACAGAGAGGAAAATCCTATACATGAGGGGGAAAAAATCATGGAAGATGGATGGGAAGAGAACTGCAATGACACTGGAATTCAGGGAGACCCCCTTTCCGCCATGCACACACATCCCGGGTTATGGTCGCTGGCTTCATAGCAGCGGGGAGGGTGGGTGGGTGGGTTTAGGCGGAAAGAGGAATCCCTGTGAGGATCCAAAGGACAAACAAGGCCCTAATGAGATCCTGAACGGTCTCTACCACCAAAAATGTAAGCCTCAACACCCGAAGGAGCCTTCTCCAACCCAGGGCACTGGAGGAGCAGGGCGTGGCGGGGGGGTTAGGGGAAGGAGGTGGCAGCCCACAACCTAAGGACGCCCCTTATCCACCCCCAGCACCCAACACAGCTGCCTCCCCACACTGCAGTGGAGTTGAGCTCCAAGAAACATCTCCCGAGCTGCCAGCCCCAAACCCCCAATTCCATGGCTTTAAAACAAACACATAAAAACCCTGAAGCACTTCACCCGTTGGAACCTTCCCATGCCATACCCCACCCGGGACACGAGGCGAACTGCACACACACACACAAGGAAAAAAGATACAAGACGGCGAGGGGGAGGGGCGCGCCTCGTCCAGGCCACCGAGTCACCCCCTTCCTCCCCAACCCCGAGTCCGGCCCCGGGCCGGAGCACAGGGCAGCCGAGAGGGCGTCTGCAGGGCGACCGAGGCGTCCACTCACAGCTCTCCACGGGACGGGACGACTGCTAGCGTGAGGAACACATCTCTGTCCGCGGAGCACGCTCATGGTAGTGGGATGATGCCCGGGAACGGGGCGAGGGGTGCCAAAGCAGGGAGATGACACCGGCCCGGCGCTGCGGGGAGCGGGTGCTGGGGGCAGACAGCTGGCCGCCGCCGCTCGATCAGGAACTCCGGAGGCCGTGCGGCCCGGGCCGGACAGCGGGCGGCGAGCGGCCGCGCGGGCGGCACCGCAGCCACGGCCTCTTCCGGATCAGCATCTCGGCGCGCCCAGGGCGTCCAATGTCATGGAGGCGGCCGGGGAGCCGGGGCTGCTCGGCGCGGCCGCTCGCAGGAAGCCCCGGGACCCAAGGCCACCGCCCACCGAGACGCCTTAGCGCCGCAACTCCCGGGGACCGCTCGCGACCTCCTTTTTTCATTCACAAGAAAAAAAGCAAAGGGGATTAAAAAAAAAAAAGCACCCGGGAACGGCGTCCGTGACGGAGACCCGCCCACTGCGGCACTCGGTTGGTGGACGGGAGACAGGGGGCGGGGAAAGAGGCGGGGGGAGCCGGGGATTGGTCCAGCCGAGGCCCCGCCCCGCGTCGACGCTGCTGCCACTCCCGCGTCTTCTCTCGGCTGCCGGAGCTGACAGGACTCGGAGCTGAGGCGTCGGGTTGCGCGTAGCCGGAGCACGAGGCGTGGCCGCTCACTGGGCTCCCTCGGAGGGCTGAGGGGGCAACCCAATGCTCCCCAAAAGGGATGCGAGCTAGATAGGAACGAGCAAGGCCTTCCCACCATGTCCTTCTGGAACCCAGGCCTCCACCGTTGCCGTCGGGCCCCTGCTAACAGGTAGAGAACAGTGGTGTATTCTGAGGGGTTCCGGTCCACTTCCAAGGGTCTTGTTGGCACCAGACGACCCGGCGGCCACAGCCGGAGCCTCTGACTGTCGGACACCACCTCACCTGGCTCCCTGCTCCCCTCCAAACCTAGTGTCTTCTGGGGTTCACCCCGGTTTTGTCCTCTGAAGGAAAGGCCAAGGGGATCTTAGCCTCGGAGTCAATATTTAAGTCCCTGTCTCAGTTGACCCATTTGCTAAAAAGGGGAGGCTCTGTGGCGAGGCAGCAGTCCGTCGAGCTTGATGGGCGGGCAGCTCAGCCCCTCTTGGCAGTCACAGCCAAAGCCTCCCACCCGAGCTCTTTCCACGCGTCCTCCAGGTCGTGCTCAGAACACAAATACAGTTTACTGTTCATTTGTGTGAAAGCATGTAGGACCGAGGGAATTCACGGCCCTCGGAAAAGCCAAGTGGGGAGACATATCCGGCCTCTCATTAATCAATGTGACAGCAAGTTGCCCATCCAGGTGTTGGGGTGCAGGCGTATTTGTTGAGGGTCTGATGGTTGAACAGTGCTCCCCATGTAACTCCTGAATCCACCCAGAGCTTGCAGGGACTGGGAACAGTGGCAGAGGGTGCTAGGAATGCCATAGTTTGGTTAGGAACTCACCTTCCCATAAATCAGAAAGTACTTAGCATAGATGTATAGGAAAGAAGTGAAACCATGGCAAGATGTGTCCACCCCGCAATGTGTTAGCAGTAAAGAGCCTTCCCCCCTCCTCTGTGCAGTCACTGTCCCAAAGGAAAGCACAAAATGACATCCCTGCGTGGCTCCCATGGCGGGCCAGAGCGCCTTTGCCACTTCAGTGTCACCTGAGAGCTGCAGCACGAGTAGGACAACAATTGTCATCCTCCAACTAAAGCCACTGGGAGGGGGCAGGCACTACCATAATTGCATAGCTGATACCTGTTCCCGCTTTGGGGAAATGTCACCTCTGCCTGGGATCACCGTCCAGGCAGACCACAGAAGTGTCAAGGTGTAGTGCTGAGGCTGAGGTTGGAGCCGGTACAGTGGTCCAAGCAAGTTGGCACAGTTGCTGGCACTCAGGAAAGTGTTTCAGATGGAGCCAGATGCCTTGTGGGCAAGATGACCCTTGGTTCCCAGCCGTGCCTTCTGTACACAGATCACTTGTCCAACTTCAAACCCGAGTCATGACCAGCCACCCCACCTCTTGGACAGTTCCAATCAGAATCCCACTCAGAAGGGGCCAGAGTTGGGATACAGAGAGTCAAGCACTGCCTGGGACATTGACATCCCATACGAGTACCAGTCCAGGCACGGCTGCTCTACTTCCTGTCCAACTCCTGGGGAAGGCAGCAGACGATGGCCCAGATGATGGCATCCTTGCCACTCAGGTTGGGGAGACAGGTGGGGTGCAGGGCTCCTGGCTTCAGCCTCGCTCAGCTCTGGCCACGGAAGGTCTCTGTTTCTCTCCCTCTCTGTCTCTGGAGCTCTGCCTTTCAAATAAATAAATAACACTTTTTTTTTTTTTTAATAAAGAACTTCATTGGGTCCCTCCTTCCATTGTACCAACCATCTTCAAAAACTTCATAGATAATGCACATTATTAAAGCCATGCATGAGTTTCAATTTTCCTGAGCTTTTTAAATGTCCTGGGAATTCAGCCAATGGGAGTTTATCCCATCTCCCCAGAGACCAGTCCTTCCCATCTTCCCCAGAACATTTCTTTCTCACTGCCAAGCCATCCATCCATCATCCATCACAATCTCTGTGGGGGACAGCCTGACAGGACCCCCTGAGTTCCTCACGTCGGCTCAGAAAGGGATCGCCAGTCCCCTCTGGCTTCCAGCTTTTTCCCCACATCAGAGCTCTCGAAGATTCTCTGCACACGAGCAGCAGCCCTCAGCAGCCCTGCATGACAGTGTGCCCGATGCCAGGCCTGCTGCCAGCCAGCCCCAGCCAGGACCATCCTGGGGTCTCCATTTCTTCACCCCTGCTAGTGAAGACAGTCCCAAGCCCCTGACCTCCTGATCGCTGGGGAGCTGCAGTTATGATTAGCTTCCTCTCTGCGCAGCTCTCCACCCTATGCAGCCCTGGAAAACAGGGTCATCGCCATGGCTGGGGCCTCCCACGGGCAAGCAAGCACCGTGGGCCCCGCCGCCTACCTGCTTGCTCTCTGCTCTCAGAATGACTGCAAGCATTTGGCCTCCTGGCTTCAGGCAGGACGTTTTTCCAGAAAATTCTGGCCTCTTTGTTTCTTCTGTCTCCCAATCTCTCTCTCTCTCTCTCTTTCTCTCTCTCTCTCTCTTTCTCTCTCTCACACACGCACACACACACCCCTGCCCAATTACACTGCAGAACAGAATGTGATAGTCAATCTAACCACTGTGTTGCTGAGCAGGGATTTTCATGCTGCTTTTCAACAGAAGGTCTGGGCAGTGCCAGCTGCTGCCCCCTGAGAGGTCCCATCGGGTTCCAGAGTCCCCTGCCCCACCCCCACTCCAGTGACATAACTTGCTTAAACCTATTAACGTAGCCCCTCCGCCCCTCAACCACCCTGTTGTATGTAATCACACAGCTGCTATTTTCCTGAAGCTGGCCAGACTCCTGTCGGAGAGCAGGATACCCAGTCAGAGACCCTGGACCTGCTTCTTGGTACAGGCTGCAGCCAGTTCCACTTGCTATTCTTTTCCTGCCACCCACCCCTCCCTGGGCCGGTTTAGACTCTGAACTCTTCCCCTAGCTAGCACCCTCCCGGTCTTCTCCAATCCTCCAACTCTGTGGGCTCTCCTGGGACTCCGCCCCCGAGCTCCGCCTCCTCTTCCAGCAGCCTGTAGCCTGGGGCAGCTGGCATCCTCGCCCTGCACTGAGGGCCAAGTTTAGAACCAGCCCTGAGCCAAAGCCGAGGCATCTCAAATGTAGATTGCTGGTAGGTTGGGGAGCCAAACGTGAAAAGTCTAGCATATTTCAAACCCCCTGTCCTGGGAGCTGGTGGTACCAAGCCCCCACAAGGAGCTTGGACCTCTTGGGGGCCTTTTCACAAGCTATTCCCACATCCTAAACACTCCCCCCTCATCCCATCCCCTTCACCAGGCTAAGGCTTAGTCATCCTGCAAGTCTCAACTAATATCACTCCCTCCAGGCAGTCTTCCACGAATGCTGTATCAAGCACAGGTTCCCTGGCCTTGTTCAGCAACCTATAATTAGTATATACTCTGTATCCCTCTTCATGCAGAGAAGCTTCTAGAGAAGAGACCGGCCTTATTTAAGGGGGCAATTTTCATGCTCATCTGGTACTCACAGTCTGTTGCTTCAACAAGCACTCAGCAGGTGCTCAATGGATGCCTGATGGATGTACAGATGTTTGGGATGGGGAGTTATAGGACATAGTACTACTCACATGCTCTCCATAGAGGCCTTCCATGGGCTGTACCAGCCTTTCCTGCGGATGTCCATGGCTCTGTGTTTCCCAGGCTCCTGTTGGAGATGGACAGAAGTGAATGGGACTGGGCAAGGCAGTGGGGTCAGCGGAAAGGAAGGCAGTGAGCACATTGGGAGGTAGCTCAAGGCTGGTCAGTTCAAATGCAGACTGTCCAATGAACAGAGATCAAATTGCATGCCACCCCAGAACTCGAGCTGGACAAGGGGTGTGGATGAGTTGCTTGTGCCATACCTGGGCACTGGTATAGGCACTTTCTGACTGTGCTTGGTAATTGGGGAAAGGGCGGTTGGTCATCCATTGGAGGCCTGGCTTGTCTGGTGTTGGGCAATTCCTTCTCTCTTCTGGGACTTGCTTTTGCATGCACCAAAGTCTTAAGCTCATTCTAGCACTGACCCCCTAAAGTGGATGCCCAGCACAGACGACCTGCGTATTACTGGTTGTTCTTTTTTATTGGAGCAGCTCCTGACCCAGATTGCAACTTAGCAATATATCAGCTGATGACTGCCTTGGCAGAGAGTAGTAATGTTTAGGGGATCAGACACAGGGTAGGAAATAGACAGGAAATCTAATTCTACAGTCATGCCCATGTCAGTTTCCTTATGCAATCAGACACAATCTTTGGACCAATTCTGGCCCAAGAATTCAAGAATCTCAGGAGAGATTGAGGCTGGTGAAGGGAGCCCTTGGCAAGTCCAGCAGGTGGTACTGAGTCAGTAAGTGGGAATGTTTGTCTCTGTGACACTCCTCCAGGGAAAGGCTAACAACACAGAAAAGTCCCCAAGAGTGTAAAGAAACCAGAGGAGCAGCCATCGCTCTCAGTGCCATCCTGGACCTGGCTGTGTGACTGTGCAAGGAATTCCATGTCTTTGATCTCTCGTTGGGATAAGGTGATTGGATGCTTAACGGCAGTCATGACAACCTGCCTTTCTCAATGTCCCTTCCAGTACTGACACCCTCTGACATTCCTCCACCTGTCCCCGCTGCCCATTGTAGGCCTGTTCTCTGTGTTCTTGGGTACCAAGCATTCCAGTTCCATTCATTCCTCTGCCACCTAGCCAGGCCATGTGCAGCAGGAACAGTTGGTGGCACTAACAGCTTCTGACCTCTAACCAGAAGGGTCAGAAACCACCCC